GAGCTTTCATCGCCGATAATTCCATTCAAGCATGTCAGGCTCGTCCCGAGAACTGCTCCCACTGTAAGCTCCCCAGCATGATTTTGAAAGAGCGATTTCCACCGAGGAGGCTCAACTGATCCTAAGTAGTATCTCAAAATTCCTTCTGCAGATATGAATGCTTATTTCTGTGGCAATTTATGATTCCGCCCCTCGAGAGGGCTCCGACTCCGTTGAGATGTCGAGCGTAGGGCAGGGATTACTCGTCTTACGCAGTCTCTCTCTTACAGTCATCTTACTCTCATTCCAGTCATGGAGAATGCTCCGTGATTGTGTGTTCCCATATAACTCAGCTCACACGGGGCCGCGTGTAGCACATGCAGAACCACAGAAATTAAATGCTGACATGGGGCAGGGACTCATTATCTGCCGTTTCAACATGGAAACGTCTCTGATCTAATCCCGATAGGTAGGGGTAGGGCTCTTGATTGGACGATGCGGGCAGCTTGAGTGAGAGCAAGCAATCTGATGCCAACTTCGGAGCTGGGTGGAATTCCCCAAGAAGAGTGTACTCATTTGAAGTCCTGCCACATCGGAGTCACCGACAGTAAACATTCGCTTCCGCTCAGACGAGTCGCGGTCGCACGAGGCGTTTTCCAGATTCGGCACAGGGGCTGCACATGGGCATGTTCCTCAGCACGTCTAAGGTCTGACTCGGTCACATGCGACATTTTCCGAGCGTTCTTACGAGTGCTCAAATCTCAGACCCATCCTGGCTGTCTAATTTCTGTCAGGGAGATGAAATTGAGATGTGCATTTCTCTCTTCTAAACATCGAAAGCGGGCCAATCATAGGGGAGCTACGTAGCCGCCAAGGTTCATGTCCTCCTTGAGCAATCGTCTCTGGGAATTTCTGTCGGAGACCCACTCCGACGCAAGCTCGAAATGTCCATTCGTCTGTGGCGAGCGACCCCAATGATCTTCATCGAAAATCGTGCATTTGGGTACTCTGAAATGTTGCAGCAAGTTTTGTCTTCTCGAAAGCGCAATCATGAACGGCACTCCTCACAGACGAGGAGACTTTGAATTCGCAAGACACTCCATCAGCTGTACCCGAGAGTCATAATAGAGTTTGGGCCTCTGAACATCGCTCCTTCAACTCAGGACTCCCGATGCCATCGAAGGCAAGGTAGCCTAAGAGTCCTATTCCATCAATCGAAAGCTTCATTTCAGTCGAGTGATTATTTTTTATTGGTACAATCACCTCAGTCGTTCATCTGAGCTACCTAGTAATTGAGAATTTCGTCGAGCACGATCTCCCTCTCTAATTCTTCAGATCAATTATGTCACTGCGTCCGGAATTTGACGTGGTAGGCTCTCGCGTATTTCGGGCTCTCGAGTGTCGGGCAGTAACTTATTGTGTGAGCAAGATCGATGCCTTTAGAGTCACGCAGCTTGTGCGAAATGTAAACCGCGGGCGTCATCCCGTTCTTCCGGCAGAATGGGCAATATTGGAGCGACGTAACCGGTATCAGCTCAACCCCTCGTCGTAGAATAGACTCTCTCTGAGAGAGCTGAGGCTTCCGAGCCTTAGGCCTCCTCGGCTTTCCGCTGGGGAATTCGGGGATGAGTTCCAGTAATCCAGGTTCCAGGTCTTCTGGATGTCAACTTCCTCTGGGAAACCATGTCGGACACACTGCGCCCAAGACAGCGAAGCTCTCTGATTTTCGGAAAGCCTCGAGACTCTTGCTTCGAGCTTGGCAACCCCCAAAGAGGCTGACGTCATATCGAAATACCGTATTTATTCTGATAGAGTGGCATGCCGCTCTATTTTTCGATCCCCCATCGGATGGGCGGTCCCTATTAGAGCTGATGGAGCCTACCTGTGTTTTTTCCGAAAATGAGTATTCAAACGATCTCTGCCTTCACTTACGATGAATCGTTTGGTATACCCTTGATATCTCCACGGAGTCTAACAATTTACACCACCTCCCCTCAAGTTATTTTCCCCTGCCGTTCCATTAGATCATTAGAGCTTGCCGTACTATTGGAGCATGCCGCTCTATTTTCCGCAATCTTCTACGGAAGCCGTTCTATTGGAGCATGCCAGTAATTGGAGCATGCCATTCTATTAGAATAAATACGGTATAATAATCTGAAATATCAGGAAAAATGTTATGATTCGGGGAGGATCCTGGTTTCCGCTCGCCATCTGGGACAGGCCTATTCTCGGCTCGGAGAATCCAGGCTCCTGGGATTTCTGGCTCCTGACAATTCTGGCCTCAAAGATTCTGGCTTCTGAGAATCTTGCACCTGGGGCGATGCCTCTCATCTCTTATTGAAGCCTCGTCGAAGCACCGAATACATCAGCTCAATTCCGATTCCTTTCTTCGAAGATAGACCTGATGTTGAAGTTGGGACAATGCATTGCTCCCTATCACGCGATCCCACATTCTCAGCGGGATCGCTTTTCAGTCAAGACGAGGGAATCCTGGACCACACAGAAATTGGCGCCTCCGTAATGTCATGGGTGTCGATCGACAGAGTAATGGCTGAGGATCCTCAAGATGTAGGCTGGAGGACTATCCACGGAATCTCCAGATCCCCCGACGGATGATTGGCGGAATCAGAAATCTGAAGGGGAGTCCTGTGCTCTTCAGAGGAACTCGATCTCCTCAGGAAAATTGAGGGGGATATCTGCGGAAACCTTGATTCGGATCGAGAGAGGCCGGAAAAAATCGAGGGATTTTCTCTTGAATTCTGGATCAGTGTGCAAGTCTGAAACGAAATTCAAGTCCCTCGAATTTGGATCGTAGGAGGGTCATTTCAACACGCAGGGTTCCGGACGCGATCAGTATTTAGAGCGAGCATCTCGGTTCGGACCCATCCTCGTTCGTCCTCAACAGGAATTCCGATCTGGTTTCCGAATTAGGCTGATTGCTCCGGGTGAGGGTCGAGAGAGAACCCCGTCACTCAAGGAATTCCATTTGAGCTTGAGGCAGTGTCTCAGTCTCACCCTCTCGGAATCACGGCGATGGTACTCGAGTATCGGAGAGGATGCGCGGAAGAAGCGCCTCGTCCACCATATATAAGTCGACGACGCTTGTAGACAGCATCAGTTGTTTGTAAGTTCGATCTCCTCCAAGACAATGGCTAACGCTGGCGAGCGACCGACTTCTCCGCTGCTTTCGGGAGAGTATGCCCAACGTGGTCTTCCGGAGGTGGTGGGCATCGAGGAGACCTGGAACCTCGATTTCTGGGCTCCCTCATTCGAAGTTCCTTTTATGGCGCCTGGGCCAAGGAGGATTCCGTTTTTGAGGTCTGCGAAGAAATGCCCGCTTCGTCACCGTTTAGAGGAGCTTCGAGAAGACCCACACGGTGCCAACCTCAGGTTCAGGCCGAGGAAGGCGCGTCAAAGACGGGAAATCGAACTCATCCCTGTCTCAGAGCTTAATTTCTGCCCGTTCTGCCGCAAGAACGGGGAGCCGCCTGAGGTCTTCGAGTCACACCGGTTGAAGGATCCCAACGGTGTAACCACCTGCCCGAAACTCAGGGCTTATAGTTGTCGCATCTGCCACAACGGAGGTGGCGATTTCGCCCATACGATGCGTTACTGTCCGAAGCTGGCAAAACCGAAGCAGCCGCAGGATTTCCATCAAAAAGGGCTGCAGTGAGGACGGGGGCCGTTCCGGCTTCCGAAGAAGGAGTTCGCGTACTGTGATGTGAAAACATAGGTACCTAGATGGAGGGAGCAAGTAAAGCTCAACCAGAACCATACTCGTATATACAAACGCAATAAAGTCATCGATTTTCAAAAGATGTATGCTCACTCTTATTGCCCAAAACACCGTGAGGACCCCAGCCGAGTGAAGAACGGCACTGGAATGAGGAAGAAACGGAGAACATTGAGGAATTTGAATTCATCCCGAATTATCTAAGCACAGTCGAGCGATCTATACTGGTGTCTGCTCCGAGCTCCGAGAGCTCCAATAAGGAGTCTCATCATGCTCTCTCCACCTTCACCTGTCTTCGACTCTCAATATGCGTGTATAAGATCTATGCACATCGAGTTTCATCGAGAAAGGAGCGCCAACCAGGGAAGACTTCAAATTGATATTCCCTGAGGCGTCCGACCCAGCTTAGAACGCGGAACCAGATTTCCTGCTTTCGCGAGCAGACGATGCTCGCATCGACCTTGCGACTGTTCTCCATTGAGGGAGAGATTGAATATTTTCCCACGTCGAAAAGGAGGATGAGGAGGCTTGGACAAGATGTCAGTAGAGGAACGAACACGGGAGTATTCCTTCACGGCGTTCATCCAAGTCTTGACAGATGACTCAATAGGAGTTCCACCTCTTTTCAGTGCTTTCAGGGGAAATCGTCCTCGAAATTGGAATAGTTCACTCCCTCT